TAGTAAGGCCTCAACTTATATTCACAAATATAAATCAGTTATTCATTTTAAATTGGAATCATAAGACTCTAAATTCTTAAACGCTAAAAACACCTAAAATACCCAATGTAGAGACTTCTCTGGTGGCGCAGTGGTTAAGAATCTGCCTGCCAATGCAGGGAACATGGGTTTGAGCCCTGGTCCAGGAAGATCCCACATGCTACAGAGCAACTGGGCCCGCGCACCACAACTACTGAGGCTGCTCTCTAGTGCCCGTGAGCCACAACTACTGAGCCCGCATGCCACAACTACTGAGCCCACGTGCCTAGAGCCCGTGCTCTGCAACAAGAGAAGCCACTGCAATGAGAAGCCTGCATATTGCAGAGTAGTCCCTGCTCTCTGCAACTAGAGAAAGCCCGCATGCAGCAACAAAGACCCAATGCAGCCAAAACTAAATAAATAAATAAATTTATAAAAAAATAAAATACCCAACGTAGGTCACTTAGAGAAGATACTTTATGTACAGACTCCATTAACTATACTTCAATTTTAAAAATGTACAGATTCTTTACTGGACCTTGAAAAAAAGCAAATGGCAAGACAGTATTGCACAGTTTATTTCCTCATTTGCATGTGTGTGTGTGTGTGTGTGTGTGTGTGTATATATATATGTATATATACACACACATATATTTTTTAGTCGATGTAAGCTTGGGTAGGCATAGAAAAAGTCTGGAAGAACACACAAACTCAGTATTAGTTACCTGGACAGTGAGACTGGGTGGGTAGAAGTGATAGAGGACTTCATGTTTTTTACCTGATACAGTTAATAACGATAAAAAGGTTGGGGTGTTTTAAATAAAATAAAAATATCCTTAACTTAAAGTTTTCCCATTTTGTTTGTTCTTCCTACCATTTTTTTTTTTTTGCAGTACATGGGCCTCTCACTGTTGTGGCCTCTCCCGTTGTGGAGCACAGGCTCCGGACGCGCAGGCTCAGCGGCCATGGCTCACAGGCCCAGCCGCTCCGCGGCATGTGGGATCTTCCCAGACCGGGGCACGAACCCGTGTCCCCTGCATCGGCAGGCGGACTCTCAACCACTGCGCCACCAGGGAAGCCCCTTCCTACCATTTTTACAGTCATCCTGGCTCAAAATTTCAAAGCCATCTTCAAGTACTCTTCTCCCGATTTCATATTACTCATCTGGTCCTGTCTTTCCCATATTCATAATGTCATCAACCTTTTCCTATTAAGCCTACTACTGCCATCCTCATAGTCCAAATTCTCAGATAAATTCAAATCTAGGATTTTGCATCCTAACTCCAGCCACTTTCTCCTTTCAAATAACTATCAAAAGTAAAGTCAAATAAATCACCCTAAAATATTGCTGGTGTTTCACACCACTTTTATGTTACATAGGGACATGAACCTTAGGACTTTCAACTGCCCCTTCAATGTTTATCTTTGAATCATAAAGGGAGGATGGGATCAGGGTGGGTGGGAACCCCCTCCCTTTATGATTTGGTTGAAATACAAATCAGGGTGAGAGCTGCTGGCTGATCAATCACTAAGAAGCCACGTAACCTAGAAGCACAGGTAAATTAATTCTCCAGGAGGTGAGTCTTGACCAGCTGGAAACAGGAAATGGGAGAAAGCTGGACAAATAAATCATCCCTTCTTTCTCTCTCATATGGACTATTCTGAAGTGTAATTTCTCCTCGAAAACCTTACAGAAAAGTCCCATATGCAAATGACCTGCTACATCTCTTCACAGGTCACGATGGAACAGTAGCTAGGGCTGTAATGTAGTTCATCTTCCTTTGCCTTCCTTCCTTCTCTCCCTCACCTTCACTATCCTGGGCTTGCACCTTCCAAAAAGTGAACACCTTAATCGGGTTCTGCTTCCCAGAGGGTGTGGGCTAAAACATACACCTCACCTCAGCTGATCCTCACAAGCTGTAACCTGGGGAGGTAAATAAATTAGAAAGCTATTAGGAATAAATTAGAAGATTATTAGGACTCCCATTTTACAAATGAAGAAACTGAGGCTTAACTCAGAACCTTTCCCAAGGAGCAAGGACATTGTTCAAACGTCACCTCTAAGAGAGCCCTTCCTTCTCTAACCAATACACTCAAAGCAGGGTCCCTGCTCTCAGTTATCCTCTATCCTTTTACTCATTTTTTCTTTTCTTCACAATATTTATCACAGCTTGAAATCCGAATTATTTCTTACTTTGTTTACATGTTTATCTGCCTTTCTTACTACATTACAAGCTCCTCATGGACAGAGACTTCGCAGTGTCTGGCAGAGCAGGCTATTGGTGAATATTTAATGAATAAATTAATATCACAACATTAGCTGGTCTCAGCTAGTTTCTGAGCCTCCAGTCTTGTTTCATTTAAATCCATCCTTGGACTTCCCTGGTGGTCCAGTGGTTAAGACTCCACGTTTCCACTGCAGGGGGCACAGGTTTCATCCCTGATCGGGGAACTAAGATCTAAAGGCCGAGAGGTGAGGCCAAAAAAAAAAAAAAAAAAAAATCCATTCTCTACCACAGTCAGTGTGATCAGGTCACTTACCTCCTTAAATCCTTTCATGGGCCTCTTTCTTACCTAATGAAGAACAAGCTCCATGAAAAGGGTCTTGGGCTCAGGAGCTCAGAGTTGAAGCAGCATATAAACTAGATTTTGAATGAGAAGCATGTTCACCAGATAGAGAAGAGAAAGAAGGGCATTACTGCTCAGAAACTCAAAAGAACATGATACTTTCTAAGAATCATTTCGGGTGTGAAGAGCTAGATGTGATGATATAGAAGTATCAGATGGAAAAAGATTGTGAAGAGCCTCATAAATGACATTAAGGAGTGAGGATCTGATGCACAAAAAATGGCACAGTCTTAGAAAGTTTATAGGCAAGGAATGGTATGATCTAAATAGTGTTTTAGAAATAAAGTGAAAATGCAGCAGTGAGAATGGACTGGATAGGAAGAGACAAAACCATTCAGAAGGATGCTCAATGTGAAACAGACCACATCAAGAGATAAAGGCCAGATGTATACGTATAGCTGATTCACTTTGCTGTACAGCAGAAACTAACACAACACTGTAAAGTAACTATACTCCAATTTTTTTTAAAAAAAGAGAGATAAAGGTCAGAACAACAGCACTTGAAATGGGGATGGAGAGGAGGAGTGGAGAGATTCATGGGGTCACACTATACACTCATCTACTTAATACAAATTCAACCTTATTTTCTAGGTAGGAAGTTTCCTACACTGTGGCCTATAAGCTTAAACCAATCAAAGAAAGGCCCCAAATCACTCTGGACCTTATTCTTCTACTACATATATTACATAGCTCTTCCCAAATGGGAGTGCCACTATAATAGGGCTGACTCTAACAGACTGAATAGCAGGTCTTCAAAAGCAGGGAGTGTGTCATATCCATTTCTTTAATATCCAAGGTACTGCCTGGCACTCAATTTTTATGAACGAATGAATGAATAGTAGAAGAATGCTTTATGACTGAGGTAGGACTTGAAAACAACATAGGTTTTAGGCCTAAAAAGGTCATTCCAGGCAAGTGCAATGGTATGGGTGAATAGAAATGGTAAACCTGGGGGAGAGACAGTGTCCTAAACTAAGATGGAATATGTTGGTCCTCTTGGTCCAGCCTTGCATAGGCCATGCTTATCCCCTGCCTGGAACTTTCTCCCACCCACCCCTCCTCATTCCGTATGGCTCACCCCTTCATTTTGTTGGGGTGTCTGCTCAAATATCACCTCACCAGAGGCTTTCCCTGACCAGCCTACCTAAAATTCTCTAGTGCCCTCTAAAGGTTTAGCCTCACTTTCTAAACCTTTTCTCTTGTTTTTCTTCTTAGTAGATTACTGAAGAGATGCTCTGACAATTTCATTCATCTGTACCTATATTAGGCTTGGCTCACTTTAATTTCAAATCAAGTTCGTCAGTTTTTGAGATCAGGACCTAATAAAAGAATTACAGCACACATTGAGATTTTCTTTTCCTTTTTTTTTTTTGCGGTACGCGGGCCTCTCACTGTTGTGGCCTCTCCCGATGAGGAGCACAGGCTCCGGAAGCGCAGGCTCAGCGGCCATGGCTCACGGGCCCAGCCGCTCCGCGGCATGTGGGATCTTCCCGGACCGGGGTACGAACCCGTGTCCCCTGCATCGGCAGGAGCACTCTCAACCACTGCGCCACCAGGGAAGCCCTCTTTTCCTTTTTTAAAAAAATTAATTTTACTGTAAAAAGTCTAACTGTTGACCACTTCTAAGTCCTGTCATTTAAGTTCCATCCAACAAAACCTGGATGGATGCCACAGAGAACATTATTTTCTTACAGGAAATATACGCCAGACCGTCCCAGAGTAGGCAGGAAAGAATTTTACATTCCTCAATGGAGAAGATTCTAGGAATGGAGCAGTAATCCATAAAGAAAATCGTCGAGATTAAACTTAAGGGGAAAAGAGGTTCTAAACGCAAGATATTATAGACAGCACAGCTCGAAGTGAGACACGATAATGTTATGTCTATTTCAATAAGTTGTTTTTACAAAGCTAATTACACAAGACGTCGCTGACCATAGGCAGGCTGATGCGGCCGAAACCACCCAGATGAGTCCTAGCCCGAGCCGGGGGCATCAAGGTAGCCGCATCTCCGGGGTTAACTTTCCTTGTTCTGCCTTCGTCAGTGGAAAGTCGAAAAGTCTGTGAAGCGGCCACCTAGATTTAAGCTTTTTAAATCTGAGATATTCCGGAGAGCCGGGCAAAGGTGGCCAGAAGCGGCTTCATACTGCTCTTGGTAAGAAACTATCGGACCTTGGGCCCAAAGACTCACAGTAGCGACGGCCAAGGGAGGGGATGGGGGAGAGAAATGCACGCCCCAATTAGAGTCGCCCCGGAGTCCCCATCCCTCGTCCCCACCCGGGACCCCGCCACCGCGGCATAGGGTCTGCCCGCCCCCGCGGGTCCCGCCGCCCCAGCGCGCGAGGCGCGCGCCTCACCTGCAGGCTTGTCTGCGGCCATCTTCCCGCCTCGGCTCGGGTCTTTCCCCGCAGGTGGCGTGGCCTCCACTCCAGCTGCCCGGCTTACCGCTATCCTGGACCTCGGAGGACGACCCTGCGCCCACTCCGGCTCCGGGCCCCTGGGTTCCGGCCTGGGGAGTGGGCAGACGGCGGGCTGAGGAAGTGACGAAGACTAGTTTGCGTCGTCTAGCAACAGCAGCAGCGTCTCCGCCCCGGGCGGTGCCACTACCTCCAGCCATGCACGGTTTCCGCCCCGCCGCGTCCCCTGACGCACTACTTCCGGGGGCCTTGGCCGGCGTGGGAACTGCGGCTGGCCCCGCCCCACGCTGGCGTCCCCGGCGGCCCGCCCCCTGCGGCGTGAGCGCGCGCGCCCGGCCGGACGTGCGCTCACCCGCGCGTCTGCGCGTGTGTTGGGTGGGCCGGGTGGGAGCTGCGCGCCGCTGCTGTGTGCTTATCCTGGTTAGAATTCTCGAGTATCCGAGCTCTTGTCCCTCATTTTACATAAAACCACAGTAACTGCACCTGACATCTATGTGGTAAGCATTGAGCCTTGCACTTGGCTTGTACACTTTTAATGATTTCTCTCAGCTCTGTGAGAAGGCACAGTTGCGATTCCCCGTTTGAAAACAAAACGAAACATTTTATTGTAGAGGTTTTAGATTTACAGGAAAATTGCAAAATGATACATGGAGCTCTTGTATACTCTTCACCTAGTTCCCCCTGTTGTGATCATCTTGAATAATTATTACATTTTTGTGGTACATCCGTCACATCTAAGAAACAACTTTGGTTGGTACATTAACTAAATTCAACATTTAAAAAAATGAAAAAAACTTTTTTCAGTCAATGTCGCTTTTCTGTTCCAGGATCTTGTCCAAGATACCACATTAAATTATTCATGTCTCCTTAGGCTTTTTTTTTTTTTTTTTTTTTGCGCTCTGCTGCACCGCTTGCAGAATCGCAGAATCTTTAGTTCTCCGACCAGGGATCGAACCTGGGCCAGCATCCAAGTCCTAACCACTGGACCGCTAGGGAATTCCCTCCTTAGGCTATTCTCGTCTGTAATCACTTCTCAGATTTTCCTTGTTCCTGATGACTTTAACAGCTTTGAAGAATACTGGTCAAGATTTTTTTTTTTTTTTTTTTTTGCGGTACGCGGGCCTCTCACTGCTGTGGCCTCTCCCGTCGCGGAGCACAGGCTCCGGACGCGCAGGCTCAGCGACCATGGCTCACGGGCCCAGCCGCTCCGCGGCATGTGGGATCTTCCCGGACCGGGTCACGAACCCGTGTCCCCTGCATCGGCAGGCGGACTCTCAACCACTGCGCCACCAGGGAAGCCCTGGTTAAGATTTTTGAAGAATGGACCTGGATTTGGGTGTATCCAGTGTTTATCATGGTTAGACTAGGGTTACAGGTTTTTAGGAGAAAGACCACGGAGGTGACCTGCCATTCTCATCACATCAAATCAAGAGTACGAGCTAACAGAATGACTTACTGATGATGTTGACCTTGATCACCTGGCTCAGGTAGTGTTTGCCAGGCTTCTCCGCTCTTAAGTCACCTCCACACACTACTCTTTGGAATCATTAAATGTAGCTCACAGTCGAATGGTGGGGAGTGTTAAGCTCTGCCTCCTGCCATGGGGAGTCTGTGCATAAATTATATTCTCTAAGGGAGATTCGTCTCTTCTCCATTTAGTTACTTATTCAATTATATATTTATGTCCGTATGGACTCATGTATTTTTTTTTAAATTGAAGTATAGTTGATTTACAATGTTGTGTTAGTTTCTGGTGTACAGAAAAGTGATTCAGTTATCCATATATTTATTCTTTTTCATATTCTTTTCCATTATGTTTTATTACATGATGTTGAATATAGTTCCCTGTGCTATACAGTAGGGCCTTGCTGTTTGTCTATTTTATACATAGTAGTTTGTATCTGCTAATCCCAAACTCCTAATTTATCCCTCCTCTGCTATCCCCTTTGGTAACCATAACTTTGTTTTCTATGTCTGTGAGTATGTTTCTGTTTTGTAAATAACTTCATTTATATCATATTTTAGATTCCACATATAGTGATATCATATGATATTTGTCTTTCTCTCTCTGACTCACTTCACTTAGTATGACAATCTCTAGGTCCATCCATGTTGCTGCAAATGGCATTATTTCATTCTTTTTATGGCTGAATATTATTCCATCGCATATATACACCACATCTTCTTTACATGGACATTTATTTTATATTGTGGTTATAATCCAATACTACATTATTTCGTTGCTCAAATTGTTTCAGCTTTGCTAATTGGAAACCTTTTCAGGTTTGCTCCTATGTCCCTTTGTCATGGTTGCTCATGTTTTAAAAAAACCTTCTAAAAAATTCATATTAACATATACACAGAAAATGCACAAAGCATAAGCACAGTTTTTTGAATTTTCATCAACTAAACATATCTACATAACTAGCACCCAGAGGAAGGACAACACATTACCCGCATGCAGGAGCCCCTTTCATGTCTCCTCCCATCCCTGCCCAAGGGTAGTTACTAACCGATGGCTAACACCATTGGATTGAGTTTTAAACTCAATAAAAGTGGATCACAATATATTTTCTTTAGAGTCTAGCTTCTTTTGCTCAACCTTACAAGATTCATCCATGTCATTGAGTGAAATTAGTTTCTCATTGTTATGTAATGTTCCATTATGAGAATGTACCGTAATTTGTGTATTCATTTTTTTGTTGAGTATTTGGGTATTTTGTCTATATTGAATAAGCCCAATATGAATATTCTAGTATGTCTTCTTTTTTTTTGCAGTACGCGGGCCTCTCACTGCTGTGGCCTCTCCCATTGTGGAGCACAGGCTCCGGACGCGCAGGCTTAGCGGCCATGGCTCACAGGCCCAGCCGCTCCGCGGCATGTGGCATCTTCCCGGACCGGGGCACGAACCCGTGTCCCCTGCATCGGCAGGCGGACTCTCAACCACTGCGCCACCAGGGAAGCCCTAGTATGTCTTTTGATGAGTATGTTAGAGCCCACATAAAGAGACACCTGCAGTGTTTACTGATCTAGCCACTGTAAGGAGCCTCTCAATAAAAAAGGAATTAAAAGGAAATTGAGAGAATTTGGGCTTTTGCTGGATGATTTTAAAGAGGAATTAGGGAAGTTGAGGGGTTGGCAGTTTTGGATTGGAGGCAGCCAGGAAACAGACAATTCAGTGATTGAGTGTCTTAGTTTTTATCTAGTAGTTTTTATCTAGGAGGCAGGAGGATTAAAGCAAGGCTAGAGAGTTGTCATTGCTCAAGGAGCTGCATCAGTCATGTTAGAAGAAGGGGGTGTTCCCTCATTTTTGTGCTTATGGAGGGCTTCATTTCTGTCTTGTCCCAAACACAATTATGGTGTAACCTTCTCTGAACATGTTCATATTCTGTGAGTGTAGTGTATGTCCCGCTGGGAGTGTTCTGCTAGAAGAATTGTTTTTCTCTTAAGTCTCCAGGCTTGTCAGCAGAGCCATTTTTCACTTTCTCACATGTGGTCCCACCTCTTGGACCTTATCCATTTCACGGATATGGAAAATGAGGTGTTAACCCACTTTCCCAAGTAACAAGACTAGTAAACAACTATTATCTTAACTGTTACATTCAGCTTTAAAGGTTCTAGAATTCGCCTATGTGGAAAACGTCTTGGGTCTCTTCTCTCACCTTTCCATATTGGCAGCTCTCCCTCGTTTACAGGGAGGGAGAAGAGTTAATTCAGACGTGGGAGGTGTGGGACTTCCCCAGTGGCGCATTGATTAAGAATCCGCCTGCCAATGCAGGGGACACGGGTTCGAACCCTGGTCCGGGAAGATCCTGCATACCGCAGAGCAACTAAGCCCGTGCACCACAACTACTGAAGCCTGCGGGCCTAGAGCCCTTGCTCTGCAACAAGAGAAGCCACTGCAATGAGAAGCCTGTGCACCGCAACAAAGAGTAGTCCCTTCTCGCCGCAGCTAGAGGAAGCCCACACGCAGCAACGAAGACCCAACGCAGCCAAAAATAAATAGATAAATAAATAAAAATTTATTAAAAAAAAAAAGTGGGAGGTAAAAAATCTCAGTGGGACTCTGCTTGGTCACCAGCCACGGCGAGTCAGTTCGCATCCAGCTAGTGTTGGTACCAGCTAGTGATGGTACCACTGTGTACCCACAGTGCCTCAAACCCGATGCGGTCCTTGCCACTTGTGGAAGACTGTCTCCAAGAATGGCTGTCACCAGTCCCTCCCATCCCAATGTGAACACTGCTGCTCTTCCCCTCCCTTTGAATATGAGTTGTGACTTGCTCCAACCAACAGAATGCAGAAGTGATGCTGAGCCAGTTTTGGTTCTAGCCCTTGAAAGGCATGGCAGTGTCCACTTTTCCTCCCTTGTACTCAGCTACCATGCTGTAAGGCTATAAGGCTGTCCTGCTGGAGTGAGACCATGAGAAGGGGAGCCAAGATGTCCCAAGTGACAACCAGCACCAAGGTTCCAGACATAAGAATGAAGCCTTCTTGAACCTTCTAGCCCAATCCAGCTGCCAGCTCAATGCAGTCACATGAGTGATCCTAGCTAACATCATATGAAGCAGAAAAACTGCTCAGGGGCTTCCCTGGTGGTGCAGTGGTTGGGAGTCCACCTGCCAGTGCAGGGGACACAGGTTTGATCCGTGGTCCGGGAGGATCCCACGTGCTGCAGAGCAACTAAGCCCGTGCACCACAACTACGGAGCCCACGTGCTGCAGCTACTGAAGCCCGTGCACCTAGAAACTGTGCTCCACAACAAGAGAAGCCACCATAATGAGAAGTAGCCCCCACTGGCCAGAACTAAAGAAAGCCTGCACACAGCAATGAAGACCCAATGCAGCCAAAAAAAAAAAAAAAAGAAAAGAAAAACTGCTCAGTCAACCCCCAGAATGGTGAAAAATAATAAGTTATTGTTATTGGACAATGACTAATTTAAAAAATTGAGATATAAGCACATACCATGCAATTCACCATTTTAAAGTATATAATTCCATGGTTTTTAGTATATTCACAAAGTTGTGCAGACATTACCAATATCTAATTCTGTGTCAAACCAGCAAGGTAGAGTGGGGTTTTTTTGGTTTTTTTTTTGGCCATACCTTGTGACATGCAGGATCTTTCCCCACCAGGGATCAAACCGGTGCCCCCTGCCGTGGAAGCATGGAGTCTTAACCACTGGACCACGGGTCCTGTTTTTTGTTTTTTTGTT